TAGCAAAACCAAGCACCAGAACAGAGTGTTGGTCCAGCCAGGTTCAGTCATGACACAATCCAGTGCACATAACAGAATGCCAAGGTGAGGTAAGCCATACCAGATGTGGCCTCAGTGCCCAAACAGCACACATAAAAACCAGGGAGGGAGGGTCAAAGCCAGCAAGGGGAATGTGGGCTCCCCTGCTAGACAACCAGTCCCACTGGAGAGCGTGAGTCGGGATGGGGGCAGACCAGACCAGGCAGGGCTATGATACCTGTGGGCCTCATGTGAGCTAGGTCAGGGGAAAAAAAAAATGCTGGGCTGACTGTTCCAACTGGTGCAAGCAAAAATTAGAGTGGGTAAGGGTTGGTTGGGCTTTGCCACAGCATCAGTTAGCAGAGGCTGGCACTGGGGGCTAAATCTGTCAAGTTAAACCGCAGAACCACCTGGAGAGTGCATAATCAGAGAATGGCAGTGGCCTAGTAGGCAAATAGTGGGCACCTCCCTCTTGGGATACCACTCCTACTGGAGAGCATGAGAACCAGGACAGGGGCAGGGATGGCTAGACAGAAAGGTGCCTGCCAGTGTGTGTGAGGGCTGGATAGAAGGGTTGGTTGGGTTGAACTAGACTTCAATGCCCATTGACATGTACAAGAGCTAAATGGGTGTGGGACAGACTGAACAAGTGTGCAGTACATACTGGTATACATGGGAACCATGGTAGGGGCAAAACTGGTGGGGGTTATGAGGAGTCACCCCAACTAGGCTGTAGCTCCCACTGGTTTGGTGAGTATGAAGTGGGCAAGATCGGGCTGAACTACAACACCCATAGGATAGCGTGGAAGACAGGGCTGGAAAGAGAATTGACCCAGCAATTGAAACGACCAGCATGCGCATAAGTTGATTGGAGCAACAGACGATGCCGGACCCTGTGCTAGAAAGCACACACAAGAATCAGGTCTGGGATCACTTCAGATGAAGTTTCTTTGGAGATCGCTCCAACTTAACTGCTGACCTCAGAACCCCAACCATGAAGAGGTTATGTCAGTCAGTGAATTCTGAATAGATTTCTTTGCGATTGGAATGGTGAGATTGGCAGCAATTCAGAACTGTTGAACCATCAAAACTGTTTGAACAGGACGCTTGGAGCACGTCTCACCTCGGGGACCCGGGGTGTGTGGGAGGCTGGGTGGGGCTTCTCCCTTTGTTTCTCCCCGACCCCAAGTACAGGGAAAAGAAAGAATGATATTAGTGTGGAAACAATGGCATTATCCACTTTCCAGTAGCCCTTGATCCTTTGTAATCTAAGCAACTAGTAAACATTATAAAAAATAAGTAAATAAAATAAAAAATTTTAAAAAGATAGAAAAATGTCACCTGTATAGACAAATGTTGCAACAGAAAGAGATCTACCTTTCATGCAAAAACTTGTGTTGTGTCAAGAATTTTTATGATTAGACTAAGCAAAGACAGTAGTGTACTTGTCCTATCACCAGATATTCATCTGTGCTTTATTGCTTGTTTTTAATACTGAATGAAAGAGGCAGACAGAGTTTTCACAGCATAGAATAAGTGGAGATTGGGCAAAAGAAGTTCCAGGCACTGAGAGATTTCAGTGAGGAGTAGGGGTGATCATATAGAAAAAAAATGGACATACCTAATGCTTACAAATATTTTCTTTCTGGTAATGACCCAAATTTCAGTTGAAAAAGCTCAGCAAACAATATCTTTCAGACATATTTTGAAATCTGCACTGTAGAAATATTCTTTAAAGTACTGGTGGACTATTTTCTAGAACGAGCTTTGGGGGATTTTCCTTAGAGGTAATTTAGTTCAGACCAAAATTAGTGGAGCCATCAGATGACTGGGGTAAAAATGGATTTTGCCTATGGTTAATGATTATTTAGGTACATTAAATACAAAATTCCAGAAGTAAGCAACTTGTCAGCTTTAAATTGTGTCTTGTTCTGAATAATACCACAAAACTTTATTTCATAAATGTGTACACTTCTCAGATTTGAATTACCTCTCTGCATACCCATGCAGTTATACTACTTACTTCTTAATCATTTAGTTGCCCATCTTGGTTAACATGAGATAATTGTTTTTGTATGAAAGTTGATTAGATCCAAACAAAGCTTTCATCTCACTTTAAATTCCTGTCAAAGTAGTTTTCTCTGAATGTAAGTGATCATGATTTTCTCTGGGTTTCTGTGCACACTGTTCCATTGTTTTGATCTAGCACAGTATTTCTCATATTACATTGTCAAGGTGTCAAAACCCAAACTGCTTAATAGTCCATGTGGGAAAAGCAACTGGGGATTCGAATTTCCCAAAACTGCCTGTCACATCTCAATTTAGCTTGTGCAGAATATATGTAAGTCTGTGTATGTGCTTTTTATTTTGATCATTACACAATCACACCCTAAATGGATCATCTATTTAATGCGTAGAACTGGAACAAATGTTTTCAAGTATATTTGCATTTCTGCACCAATCTAAAGCCAGGAATCAGGAGCCTCTTCCTGGTCTCCTGCACGGTTACAGGGTCCCAAGGCTTTGGACCATGCTAGACTGCTTTCCCAGGCCACAAGCAGGGAGCTGGATGAGAAGCGGGTCAACCAGGATTAGAACTGGTGCCATTATGGGATCCTGGTGCATGCAAGGCGAGGACCTTAGCCGCAAGGCTACCTCACTGGGCCTGATAGAGCATTATCTTATTCTACTGTGCCACAATGCTGACCCCTAAATGTATTGCTTTATGTAGGGTTGAAAAATGCAAAATTTATATCTACTTGTGTTTATTTGTGTGTCTTTCATATTTAATATGATTAAATAATTTTTAAATTCTATTGCTTCATCTCTCCTTTTAAAAAAATTACTGATTGATTTTGTGTTTTTCTAGGCTTTTCCAATTTTTTTTCTATTTATGTCCTAGGGCACATTGTGTTACTCTTTAAATGTGATTTATTTGATAAAGTCATGATAGAGTTTTAATAATGCAACCTCAACTTTATATGTTTTCCTTTGAATTTTTATCCTGTTACATTGTGACTAGAAGAATCTGCAATATTTTGAGGCGGTTTTCTAGACAGCCATTTTGTAATATAAGATTTGAATTTCTGCAAACAGTTTCAGAAACATCTGAGTGTCATGAGCATAAAACAAAGCTCAAGGAATTGAGGGACTCACAGGTCTGTGGATGAGATTCTGCACTTGGGTCCCAGGCCAAGTCCATGGGGCCATATGCTATAAGATATCCTGCAGTCATGTAATGATGACTCTGGTACTTGGATCACACTTTTGCTACCTGATGATTGAGCACTGGCTGTTTAACATCAGTGTGGGATATATTTAGCAACATTCAATCAACATCCACTATCAACTCCCACAATTTGACTTTATCAGAAACACAATAAAAGATTGAGACTGTGAGCTTTCCAGGCCGACCTCCTTCCCTAGAAAAGGGCTTGATAAGCCCTCTTGTTCGTTCCCTATTTGCAGGAGGGACTACATATCTAATATGGAGACAACCACTTTATCAGAGTGTGCCCCAGAGAACTTGTGCCTATTGATTTGAAACAACCAATGAAAACTTCCCCTGAAATCTGTCTTGGGTAATGTCTGCAAGCTTGTCTCAATCTTGCACCCTAACCTAGTGCATACACATCTTCCAGGAGAGTCTTCCCCTTCTCATACTTCCCTCTTCTCTTTGGGATCTCTTGGAGATAAAACTGCTTTTGTTATTTTATGTTTTGTTCGCTTGCCTCTCTGTATCTTACTTAGGCAACACAGTGGATCGAATTTCTTTCCAGGTAAAAGTATTCCTAGAGGGTAGCTATCTAGGAATAAACTTGACGCAGGTCAAACAAGGGTCATCAGGGTTTCTTCCAGTATAAACAAGTTCCATGTAAGAGGTACGTACACTTGACCACATATCAAATATCAGAAATTTAGGTATGGTAGTGGTCATCAGAATGAAGAATAGTCCTACACAGGCACACAAGACAATTGAAATATTAATATGTTCCTTTAGATAGTGCTGTGCATTAATAAATGTGTTGTACCAGTGTCTTCATCAAGCTTGTAAACTAAAATGTACTTAGTGAAATAATTAGTTCAGATATTTAAATTTGCAGAGGGAAAAGACAAAAATAATACAATGATTTCAAATTCCAAGTAAAAGTTTACTCATATTTTGACAGAAAATTAGGTTTGATTATAGTGACTGCAGATTGCTAATTTTGTGATGTTTTAGATTTAACAAACTGACATTTTCACTAACAATTTATTTCATGTAATTAATTTCTTCCATATTTAATGTTATTATTTGCTCTAAAAGTGATCCGTTCACTTTTAACATATTGCTGATTCAGGGAAGAAAACTCAATTCATGTTTTTTTAAAAAGGAATTGCCCAAATATTTCCACTAGAGGGCCCACACAGTATCTGTGGAAGAAAGAAGGAAAGTGGACCACGATTGTGCTCAATGTAAATGTAAATATTTCGTGCTATGATACACCACCACTTAAAATTCACATTCTAATTTCTGTAACATTAGGGAAACAGAATAGAACTTTAAGTAAAAATCATTAATTTCTGACAATATGATCATCTTCAAGGGTAATTCACTGATACGTTGTCTATGGCAACTTCTGAACTTTATCCTTATGAACTTTTTACGTCCATCAGATCCTGTTCATGCTTTGCTCATTCCACTTGATCCAGTCTATTGATAGGGAGCATGGTCCTTAAAGTTTCAATTCACAGGGAGTGTGTTATGAATAGAACTATTTAAAAACTGTAGGGCTTCATCTTCAGGACACTAAGGGGAAGAGGAAGGCACATGGAAAAGAAAGAATGAGAGCAACTCACTAGTTAACAACTTTGTTGAGTTGTAGACTTTAGGGTAAAGAGAGAAACAATGGAATGTTCAACAGCATTAACGTGTTTTTGTTAAGCTCCTCGTTAATGGAATTATTAAAATTGCCCCATTTGGAATATTTTCAAACTTTGATCTATTCCCTCTTTTTCTTCTTTCCTGTCTTGCCAAATGTATGATAAACACACAGGCAACATTTTGTGATCAAGATTATGGATGTTGCCAAGCAGGCCAGCAGGAATCCAATCACATCCAGAGAGTGGTACTGGTACCAGGTGAGGTCATGGGCAGCTGGCCGAAGGTGTTTGGCTCCCTTGTGGCGCATGACAAACTCGATCCAGAAGACTGCTCGATCCAGGGGCTTTACAGGTTGGTCATGATGAATTCTTGATAGCCTCATAGCGTTTTCTTTGTATCTAAAGGGAAATACATAGATAACATTTAGTTTCAATTTTAGACTTTCCTCTTCTTGAAGGAAAGTATGGAATTAATAGACATTACAGAAGCCAAATATTTGGTAAAAAGTTTGTCTCATAAACTTTATTGGTTATATTGTGAAGCTCAGATTATAAAAGACACATACTACTAACAAAATTTGAGCCAGCATAGACATAAAGAAAAAAAGAGAGAAGTTATTTGTGAATATATACCTTATGAATTTTTCCAAGAATTCAAGTTTTAAAGAACTTCATTATCCAACACTATTGTAAGACCAGATTGCTGAGTAGCTTATTGTTGTGGAATTTTTAAAACATACTGTCATGACTGTTAAACTCTTCCTAGTTCATATACTAGAAATAAAAATTTGATAGTTCTCATTGCTGAGTACTTTCATAGTTCTGAGGTTTTTAGCACCTGGCAATTGCATCTTTGTACATATTTATGCTATTGGTGAAAACCCAAATTTCTCTCAGAGACATCAACATTGGATGAAGATACTGGAGTAATTTAAGGAGTGGCATATCCCAGTACATGAAATTTGAGGGGTTTTTTTTTTTGAGTTTTGTTTTTAGACAAATTAAATTTTCTCTCTAGAATTAGAGTTCTTCATTCATTTTGGATCACAGTGGCAAGCATAAGAGTTAAAAGGACTCTTGTTCTGTGACAACATAAGTGCAGGTCTATAAAAATTTTCTATGTTTTTATTTCATTTTTGACTGAAATTGTATTTGTAGATATTTATCATATACAATGACTTTCTAATTTATGTGTATATTGGGTAGTGAAAAATTTATGTAAATTAGCATGTCTAACCCCTATATATTTACTGTTCATCGTGGTGAATATGCAAAAAGAACCATCTTCTGTTTAGAGATACACAATGCATTATTAACCCTACTCTGCTATAAAATACCAGAATTTTGTCCCGCTATCTAACTGATTTCATTGACCAGCTTGTTCTTGCTGCACTCCTTCCCTCAAAACCAGATAGCCACTGTTCTACTCTCAATCTCTATTGGGTCAACTTTTATATTCCCAGATATTAATGAGATCACGTGCTATTTGTGTTTCTATGTCTGACTTTTTTCACCTAATATCCACTAGTCCTATCCGCAATACCACAAATAACGGGATTTCATGCATGATTAATAGCTGGGTGATGTCTTTTGTACATACATCACATTGCCTCTTACATCACACTAGTGATTCCATAAACTAGCTATAGGGAAGGGTGGTGCCAAAAGCATGAAAGTGCAGGTATCACTTTGACTTGTTGATTTCATTTGCTTGGGGTGTATGCTATGGTAGTTTTATTTAGTTTGCTGGAGAAACTCCACATTGTTTTTCACAATGGCAATCATCATTTAGATTCCCAACAACTGTGTTCCCTTTTTTTCTGATTCGTTCATTTTTATTGTAATTAAGCCATTTTAGCTGTGGTAAGATGATTTTTATTTGCTTTTACCTGATGATAAATGAGAAATGGAATTACATCAGTCTAGAAAGCTTCTGAACAACAAAGGAAATGGCCAAACTAAGAGGTACCTTATTAAATGCATGTTTGCAAACCCCAAATTTAACAAAAGATCAATATGCGGAATTAAAAAAACAAAAGCCAATGCCAGATAATCAAATAAGTTAATTTACAAATAGACTATGGGCCTTAATAGGCATTTCTGATGGATATACCAATGGAGATCTATGTATTTTAAAGGCGTGTGGAATCTTTTTCAAGCTTTTTGATGTTTAAACCACAGTAAAGGGTTACTTTGAGTTGTACTTAATAGATTCTGGCTGAGTTCATGGAAGTGATATAGAGGAAATGGTTTGTGAAGAGGGACCGTGGTGTAGGAGATACTCTGGTAAGACTGAGGGAAACAAATGTGGTTATCATTCACAAGTTCAAATGATGCACTGGATCTAGCAGCAGGGGATTATCTGATTAGTTACACATATGATTATGCTTGTGTGTGTGTATGTGTGCACACATGTGAGTGTTTGTGAGTAGAGAAATTGAACTTTAGTTAAGATGAAAACAGTAGCTTCACATGTTTTATCATATTGTATTTTGGACAAACTATTGGCCTTTATCACCAAATCAAACTGCTATTTAAGACTTTCTTGATGTACAAAGTTTTAAAATTTGAAATCCATGTTCATGAAAAATAGGATTAAGTATATGTTAAAAAGAATTTTATTTTGATCCAATATCATTTTGAAGTGCACAGATACATTATCATAACATTTATTTTCCAAGAACATGTAGAAACACTCTGTATATATGTGTATGAATAAAAACTAGTTTATGGGACTAAAACCGTGGCATAGTAGATTTAGCATCCATCTGCGTGCCGGTTCAAGTCCTATCTGCTCCATTTCTACTCCAGGTCCCTGCTTATATACCTGGGAAAGCAGTGCAAAATGGCTCAAGCCATTGGGCCCTTGCACCATGTAGGAGACTGGAAGAGGTTTCTGTTCCAGGCTTCAGATCAGCTCAGCCCTGGTTTTGCAACAATTTGGGGAATGAACCAGCAGGTGGAAGAGCTTTATCTCTCCTCTCTCCATAAATCTGCTTTTTAAATAAAAATAAGTACCCCCTACTTAAAATGTCAGTGTATTGAAATGTTGGTGGAAGGGAAAATAGCCAACCTCAGGTGACTCAAATGGATCTAAACCAAGCCTTGGGAGCCCTCCCCCCTGAGAAATGAATATACCATCACTTAGTTTACAAACCCTGGCACCAGAGCTTGGAGCACATAGAACAAAATAGTTCCGTTAAAATAAAATTGAACAAATTTCCATCTGAGTTTCACCTGGATATCCCATTTGTTGAATTCCAGTGTACAGAAAAGTGGATGGAATGTTCTGCCAAATAACTTTGGATTTCAGCAAACAAGTCATTGAATTGGATGTAATACGGAGACAAATTTTAATTGAAAGGCATCCATACAAACGCAAAGCAGTTACTGAGAGGAAAAACTGAAAACCACATGCGTATGTGAGGTAACCTCAAAATGTTCAGGAAAAATGAATTAAGAGGTGTCTACTGTGAGAAAATTTAAAAATCCTTATAGTTTTTCATAATATGCATTTTGAACGTTGAAGACACCATGTAGTCCTATTTGGAAATGAAATAAGTAAGTAAGTAAATAAATAAATCAATAAATAGCAAAATAGTAAGAATAATAAGAAATGGTAACTAGTCCAAAAAGGAGGTTTGAGATAAACAAATCAGACTATAAGCCAAGAGGCTGTGGAAAGGGAGATAAGTGAGCATTTGAAATAAGTTGTTTAAAATAGCATTTTAAAGAACTATTAAAATAATTATAAACAGCAAACCATGCTCAAGGAAAAAAAGGCAAATTTCCTAACTTATGGACTGCTTGAAGAAATTTCTGTAAATTCAACACAGGAAAACTAAAATATTTCAGCACAAAGAAAATGAAAACTGATATTCCCAAATGAAATGTAGAACTGAAAGATGTAAAAGAAATAAAAAAATTTAAAAAGAACAAAAAGAAATAAAAATCAATTTCTGAAAGAGAAAACTGAATAACTGTCGACCTAGATGTATAGTTTTGTAAGCATTAATTAAGGGAGATATATAAAATAACTTTTAAGGCTGCATCATAATCAAATTTCTGCGTTTTAACTAGTAATTCTTTCCTGTGAGTGAGAAAATGATCAGGTAAGACTCAGAAATGCATTTAAAGTTAGAAGAGATTGAACAATACATTCAGAAATCTGAAGGTAAGGAAGAGGTGAGTTATTCACACAGAAGTCATTCTCTTTTTAAAGTAATGAGTAATTATTGCTAAATATGATCAGGGAATTCAATCTACAAAGTCTTCACTGAAAGAAATTGCAGTTAAATGAATCAAAAGCATTTTGTGGTAAAGATCCTCTAATTCAATACTGAATATTGATTCCCTTGCAGTACAGTTGAATCTTTAAGTGTGAAGACAAAATAAGTAATTGGAGTATTAATTAATAAGTTAAAAATGTAGATCCTGAAAACTGAGAATGAGATTAGTACCAAACAGGAAGTTTTTGGATCATGTTATTAAATATGTTTGTTAAATAACAGCTAATTCTAAAGCATAGAATTGGATGCATTATCGCTTTTATTGTATATGTAATTGATGATTTATGAGATCTGAGTATTATTTATTTACAAGGGTCAACAGGTATTCAGAAAATATCTAAATATCCATGCAATGACATTGCTTATTTTTGAGAAAAATGGAATACTTGAAATCTTTTCCTACCAATTTCAGTAAATCATTTCTCTAATTTGGTAAATGAAATAGGTGATTTCCATATTGGTCATGTTACATCATTTAAATATAAACATTCAAAAGCACAGAACATTGGGTATCTCCAGTTATGCCTGGACAGCAAAATCAGTGGTAGATAACCGCTTGAGGAAGCAGAGGTACTTACGAAGGATCATTAATTACTGTCCTCAAAGCATTCAGCCAGTCTTCACTTGTCATTGTATTCATGTTCACCTCCACAGCTGCTCCTTTGGCCCTCATGTGAGCAATGTTGTCAGGCTGATCAGCAAACATGGGGACACCCACCATAGGGACCCCGTGGTAAATTGCCTCATAGATTCCATTAGTTCCACCATGAGTGATGAAAGCTTTGGTTTTGGGATGACCTAGTTTGGTAATTGGGTGAGAAAGGGTGAGGATTTCAGTGTTATATTTTATGAAAATTTTAGAAACAGAAGGGAGGAAGAAAACCACTGTGTAACTAAGGAAAGCAGTATTTTTATTTCCAAAAATATATTTGTTCATGAAGTGGAGTGAAAGAGAATTAGTGAGAGCGAGACAAAGAAAGAGACTAAGTGAGACACAGTTCTCATGTATTTCCTTCCTAGTTGCCAGCAATATCCAAGGTTGAGATAGGACAAACCATGAAGCTGGGCGTTCAACCCAGGTTTGCAATATAGATAAAAGAGATTCAACTGAAATCTCAAATGGTGACTACTGAATCACCATTTGCTGCTCCACAGGACTCACAGGCTGTTGGACAGGAAATAGAGCCAGGACTTAAACCCAAGCACTCCATATTACAATGTAGTTATTCCAAGCAGTATTTTAACTGTAGAGTGATGCCACTGAAGGTAGTGTTTTCTACAAAAACTGGACACAGAGAGTATTACTAACACAGGAAAGGAGAGGAATTAACCTTTTCTTCATTTTCAGATATACTATTAAAGGGGAAGAGATGCATGAACTGAGATAGATACAATCATGATGAGATGAAGATAACCTTAACTGAAGATGTTCATTTGTGATGCAGAGGAGGTATGGCTCATTAAATTCATGATCATTATTATATGTGCGTTATAACTGGAAACTAGAAATGTTAAAATTTAAGTTATGAAACATCTGTAGAATGTATTTTGTACTTAAGTTACTTGTCTCCTTCCATCTGAATTCTTTTTCTCGGGCATAGTCCTCTTACCAAGAAGATCATTCTGCGGTATCCAATCATACAGCCGAGTGTTGGGTCCTAGTGTGTCCGGTGTTTTTCCCTTGTATCGCCATAAGACCTGTAGAAAACGATGCCTTAGTTTTGCAAGTGAAAACAAAATGAAGAAAATGTTAAGGCCGTAGGATTGTTTAGGAATCATGTAATCACCTGCCCCGGGTTGCAGCTGAGAAAGTGGCATATCACTAGACGTCCCGACACGGAGATATACACTACAGCTGTTTACGTCTACCTGACTAAGACTATTAGTAAAATATTACTAATATTTATCACTTGAATGCTTCTGTGGGTAAGATTTTAAGTGAGAAAATAGAAAATAATATTCATTAATCGGAATATTTGAATTCTGAGCATTAATACTTTAATTTATCTGATGTTGTTGAGCCTACATAGCTAGCTGCCATATTTAATTCATAATGTACTTTTAAGAAATACAAGCAGTTTGAGATTTTGTGATATGCTTTCTGTATTACTGATTTTTTTCTTTCCTTTTCCCCTTCTTCATATCCTCTCTTCCTTCCTTGTTCCCCCTTTTTTCAGTGCTTCTTCTTTTCCTTCCTCTCTCTTCTTTCTTCTTCTTCCTTCCTAACGTCTTTCCTTCCTTCCTTTCCCCATTCGTTCCTTCCTTCTTTCCTGTTCTTCTTTCCTTTCTTTTGTTCATTTCTTTCTGAGGGAGGACAAGGTGGGGATTTCCCTATATTACATTTTCCCCAGAGATACATTTTTGGGAATTTAATAACTAAATTTACATAATATCTTCTTTAGTACAATTAATGAAAATCCACATTAAAAGCTTAATGTTGGAAAACTTGTAATAAGCATAATTTGGAAGTCAAAAGCAAATGTTTTATCATATTTAACTGGCAATCATGATAATTATACAATTAATGTATTTTCATCAATATGTAAGAGGCTAGTGTTGTGATGTATCAAGTTAAGACACTATCTGCAGTACCAGACTCCTTTGTGGTTTACCAATTTCAGTCCTGGCCTCTCCTCCTCCAATAAAGCTCCACCTAGGAAAGCAGTGGGAGAAGCCGCTGGTATTTGGCCCCTGCACAAATGTAGGAGATCCAGAGGAAGCTATGGTTTCTGACTTGTGCTTGTCCCATTCCAGGTTGTTGTTGCCTTCTGGAGAGTGAACCAACAGATGGCAGCTCTCTTCTCTCTCTCTTTCCCTCTCTCTAATCTCTCTCTCTTTGCAACTCTGTGCTTAAAATAAATAAGCACATTTTAAAAGATACATGAACATAAACATTCATAGAGTATTTCACAATAGTTTATTAAAGCTGTATAAATAGAATTATGATGTTAGTAAAATTAAAATTATTCATACCTTGTAGATAAGAAAATGCATATTTCTAGTGTAATATTAGAATGTATTTTCACCTTTAAACTTCTCAATTTATATACACAAAGTGAATGCAAGATTTCAGATCTAAATCAATTTTACTTTAATAGAATCTTAATGAAACCTAGACATTTGGAGTGTATTTTTAAGCATAAATTTTCTGTGCTTTGTGTCTACACTCTTGTCCTAAAATAAAAAACTAATATACTTCAGAACTTTTTGGGTAGTTTGAACAGACCATGGGCTGGCAAGATGGCTCAGCAGGTTAATCCTACACTTGAAAGCACCATAGGCACTGATTTGTGTCCAGTCTGTCTGTTCCAGTTCCAATCAAGCTCTCTGCTAATGGCCTGGGTAGGCAGTGGAAGATTTACTGGGTCCTTTAGGGTCCTGTACCCAAGTGGGAGACCAAAAAGAAGCTCTTAGTTCCTGGCTTTGAATTAGCTCAGCTCTGACCATTGTGACCAGAAGTGAAGCAGTGGATGGAAGACCTAGCTTTCTGTCCTCTTCTCTGTAAATCTGCCTTTCAAATAAATATAAATACATTTTGGGAAAAAAAAGAAACAGGGCAAAGTATTTATAGCAATGCAAATTATTGGGATTTAACATTTCCATCTTAATTCCAGTATGAATCAAGTCTTATAAAAAGAAGTTACCATATTGATGTCAAGACTTATGAGGTAAGCAGCATGTCAAAACACATCACTTTCATTTTTCACAAATTTTTACTCACGGCTAACCAGTTACATTTGGTGAAAATGAATTGAATCAGTCATTTGTAAAAGCACAAACTGTCACATTCAAACTTCAAATGGGATAAATCTGCTTACCAAGGGCAAAGCTGACACTGACCTTTTGTGGAATCTGGGCCAGGGCTGAGGCAATCAGATTGGCCTTTTCATCTGAGATATTTTTGACCATTGAACCCAGAGAAAACACCACAATACCATCTTCACCTGAACTCTGGACAAACTCTTCCATTTCCTGTAAATATAAAATTTTTCTTATTAGTCATATTCAGCATCATAAGGGGAAAAGGAGATGGGTGCCGTGATGAATATCCTCATTCCATCTCAGAACACCTTGGCTTCTGTGGGTTCATGTCACGGCTCTGCTCACTAATATATGGAAGGCAGCAGGTGGTGTCTCTTGAACCTGGCACCATGCCACCTACTTAGGGGACCCAGACTGAAATCCCAGATACTGGCCAGCCCTGGATATTGTGGACATTTGATTAGTAAACTAGTAAATAGCAGACTTACGATCTCTCACTCTTTTTCTTTCTCTCTTTATGTCTTTCCCTTCCTCCCTCTAAAATAAATATAAGAATTACTTTTGAATGTAAAAATTTTGGTTACACTTCTAAATAGGAGGAGCCAGAACCAGTAACAGTAAAATTTTTAGGCAGATCCTCTCTTCTGATACCTGGAACCATTTATTGAAGAGGAAATATGATTCTGTAGCTCTTTTGTCTCATTTCAACCATACCTAATTTCTTCTGCTAAGAATCCATCTGTTATAAATTATATATATGTATAAATATACATATATTTAATAAATATAAATATATATGTAGAGAGAGACATTTTCAAAGCAAATGTAACATTTAATGCTGTACTATAATGATAATAATGGAATTTTACACCTATGGAAGTTTTTGCTTTATTTTTAAAAGGTACCAGATAGGTGGTGAGATTTGCTGCATAGTGTTAGTCTAGCCTTAAAGCAGATGTAATATATAAATTTCTGCAGAAATAATATTCTGTGAGTTAACAAGTAGCAGTTGTTCAAGTTGGGTACTTTGGGCCCTACAGGCAGTGGTTGAGGCCTTTCACATAATTGGTGTGGCTGCTGCTTTCCAAGCACCTGCATTGCGTTCACTGCTCAACTGTCTGTCATCATTCTAGAGTTAATGAATTTCTTATCTATGGCCATAATACAGGAGAATGTCAAGAGAAGATTCCTGAAACTGCAACATTGATATTTTTTCATTGTGCTTCATTATCAAAGCAAATGTCAGTTTCACAAAGTGACACACACTACTGCCACAATTATCACAGCCAGAAAGTACAAAGAAAGCAAAGAGTTTAAAATGGTTTGATGTGCAGCATACAGGAGTTTTTAAGCTATGCTGGCAATTGACAAGGGAAGGACTCCAATATTTGCTGCATTGATTGGTATATTTGAGCTTTTTATTTTTTCATTTACCAACACAGCCCACTAAAGAAAGGTCAGCTTGCACCAAAGCTTATGTTTGTAAATAATTATAAACTGCAGTATTTTACTGGAAAAAAGAAATAACATTTTATACATTTTAAAAAATAGCTTGATTATTTAATAATAGTGGCATTTTTTTCAGCATCCAGAGGAGAGTTTGGGCATTGTGGTGATGAGGTGTTGTAGGGTGTGTGTATGTGTGTGGTTCCTGCGTGAGCGAAACAAGTGAAGTGGTGGCTTTGGAACCTGGGGAGTCCTCAGCAGCTCTAAGTTCCCACAATTGCATTCCTGCTTCCCTCACCAACCAGTCCAGCATAAAAATAAATCTCATTTTTATTGTTGTGTGCCCCACTATTTCCTACAAAAGACAGCTTAAGATCAAGAACAGATGTTGAAAAAAAAAAAAGGTCAGACTGACTCAGGGGAAAAGAAAAATGACATGCATAGGTCAGACAAAGAGCATATAAATATAACTACAAAATGTCTGTAAGAAAACCCGAGGTCCGCTGAGGCAGGTCAGAAACGGAAGAGAGATGGAGTGCTGTGGCTCAGGCCAGGATGCCAGGGCCATGGGCTGTCCCGGGCACAGTGGCTCGCTACTGCTTCTCAGCGGTCATGTGGATCAGGTGATCCCTGGGAGACTTGTGGGGCTTCTTGCTAAGGTGCAGTTTGATCGCGTGCTTGCTCGCAAAGATCCGGTTGCAGAACTGGGGGTGAGGAGGAGCAGTGGGCACAGAGTTCTACTGGGAGTACATTTTTTTTTTTTTAAGATTCATCTGTTTAGTTTAAAGGTTAGAGGTGAAGTGGTTGGGGGAGTGAGAGAAAGAGATACAGAGGAATGGAGAGGAGGAGACCAGAGAGAAATACTGACAGGGTCTTCCATCTGCTGATAAATTCCTCAAGTGTCAGCAAAAGCCATGGCTAGACCAAGCTGAAGTCATGAACCAGAAACTTGATCCAGTTCATCCAAGTGGGTGACAGAGAAGCATCTGGGCTGTCATCTGCCTTCCATGGACATTGGCAGGAAGCCGGTCAGATGTGCAGAACAGCAAGGAACTCAACCAGGCATTCTTATATGAGGTGTGGACTCGCTAAGCAGTGGCTTAATGTGTTGTGCCACAGATGCCCGCTACACACTGATATTTTAAAACACAGCATTAGAACAATTTTGTTCTTCAACCTGAGCTGTCAATGCAAAAATACCCAAATCCTATATCAATCAACAGGCCCCTCTGATGCAAAAGATGAATTGGGGTGGCTGACTGAAGAAGCCCATCAACATATTTCCGTAATCAAAGCTGTATATTTTAAGAAAAAATAATTTGTCATAATGTACACACAATAATTTACTGTCACAGAATTACCTCAGGTAAAGGTTTGGCCGGTTTGCAATGCAATCCTCCAACAAACTCAAAATTAGGTAAGTATGGACGAGGAAATTCAAAATCCCAATATGTCCTCATTAGCCAAATTTCAGCTTTCCCCATAGTCTCACACAGTGTGGTGGGTCTTCCTAGAAGAAAGTAAGAAAGGTGGATGGAGGAAGTTAGTATATATGTTTAATGAGAAAAAAATATCTATAATTAGTCTTCTAAGGAAAACTTCAGGTAATTCTGAATGCTCATCTTGACTATGTGTTATCAAAGAAAGAGAAAAATCAAAGAAAAAGGGAAGGAGGCAGAAAAAAACAATCAAAAAGTGGGATTAGAAAGGGAGAAACAGTGGACTGAAAGAAAGATGAGATGCTGGAAAATAGGATTTTTCAAAAATGCAAGAAAAGTGGCATATCAAAAACTTAAGTCCAACTAGTAATGCATTTAATACCGATATGTTTCCTTTCCAGTTAGATACATCAGCCCCATCACTTCAATATCCAGTGACCTCTCAGTGGTTTTCAAGCTTTCAATTAAGGCAGTCTCACTTTTACACTCTCTTATTATACTCTTTGGTTCACACACGTTATTGAAGGATACCACCAACCTCGGTCCACACTTCCTCTTTGACTCAAATGCTGTCACTTAGGTTGCTTTGTATTCATTTTTTAAATAATGACCTTCTTCACTCACAATCAGTGTAACACTTTCTGGGGATTTGAGATACACATGTAAATGTCACTAAATCATAAAATAAATCACAAAAATAAGCAATTAATTTAAATATATTCTAGGGCATATTTTAAAATTTGAGTTTTCATGATATGATTACATTGGCAAAGCTCTCTAATTGCCCCCACTTCTTTTCCCCAATATTATTACAATAATATAGTCCTTCTGCAACAGTCACAAGCCCATCATTCTGCTTTTTCAGTTGATCATGACATTGTAGGTATGTATGAACAATGATAGAAAGTCCAGCATCCTATTGTCAAGATATACTCTATGGGGATTTAGCAAGTATTAATTTTAGTGTTTTGGCAAGAACCTTGAGCATTTACAAGTAAACTATCATGATTTGTTTGTCTGTCTGCATAAGTTTCCATGAGGCATAAATTTAATTATTAGATGAACTTGGATAAAATTATATTCCCCAAATAAGACAAATATAATTTGAAAACAAGAAATTATAGCTAGTGCACATCAGGGTGATTAAAGAATTGCTTTTGTATTGGTCACTTTTTCTATTGTACAATAGCAGAATTAGTGGTAAGTAAAATAAAAGTAACCACTTTCACACACACTTGACACTCGAATTACTCAGACAACAGAGTTTATTTTCTTCTTGTGAATGATTACCTTAGAGAAAAATAAACTCTGCTCTCTTACTGTATTGTTTGTTGCTTCTTTTTTAAGATTTCAGTGGGAAAACCACCAAAATAATGACAATAGAAAATGGGAAAGGAGAAAATACTACTAATAGAGCAATAGAATTTCTTTCAAACATTGTATGTGTGCAAACTATTTTTTACCTTAGCCTCCAGAAGAACTTTTCCATGAAAAGAAAATGAGAAAGACTTCCAGAACGATGTACTTATTGTCAGATAAGAATGGAAATTAAGAGTAAATGAAAACCTTTTGCGATACAGCAAATTCCTCAAAAGATGATACAGTTGGACTTGCAAGTGGGGAGCACTTGGGAAACAGGACACCAAAACATGGAAATTGATTGGTCATCAGCATACAAATAATAATGAAACCATTTAATTGGATGACATCATCAGAGGGCTAGGGTTAGGGTTAGAATTAGAGATCTTAAAGGATAAAAAAGTTAGGATGCTTCATCATATACGTATGCAATTCATTACAAAGTGATTGCCCTTGGTGGATTATGGAAACTCTTAGAAGGCAGAAAGAATGATGGGGTTGGCATAATAATGCTTTGTTTCTTAATTTTTACAAGAATAGATTTAATTAGTGAAATTTCAGTGGACATTCATTATGATGGATGTTTTATTTCAAGAGAAAGGACATTTAAAAAAAAAATCTATAGCACTGACTAAAGGGAGAAGCGTGAAAAAAGGAATCAGAAGATTTATGTTAACCAAGATTAACAAAAACAAAAACAAAGTGAAAAAACTCCAGGTTTTTGGGAGAAGGACCAGAAGTTGGATACATGGCATTAAGGTGGAGGTGAGGTGCTGAGGTGCAAGGAAACCAATTTGCTTGACTCACAAACAGAACCATAGATGATACAAAAAAGAATAGGAGAGAGAGGTATGGATGTCAATGGTTTTCATGCTCCTTGACATTCTTGTTCCATTAGCTATTAGAAGCATATTGGAAAATGCTGTCCCTTCCAATTTACAGATGTGTGTGCTCCCTAAGCGTTACCTCTGAATAAGCTGCCATGCCTCCGTCCTGAGAGAGTCTTGCCTATGTCACAAACAGATCAGCTACTGCAGAACACTGCCTAACTATACCTTATGGCCAAATGAGTGTTGTCAAATAAAGATGAAGAGGCTTATGAGGAGAACGTAAGATTCTTATTATGTACTTAGTTCATCTGTAAGATTTCAGACTTTCTCACTATAAATAGAAATCAAGATTTTAAATACTACAAGTAGCTGTGTCCCTGATACTTACTTTTATGTGTTTTAAGATTTTTTTTTGTTTTTCTTCACAACAGTTCAAGTGTGATTTGTCCAGTCATTTTCTTCACACATAAATGTGAAGGAATAACCAGTATAATAGACACAGCACAGACATCTGACAAGTTACTAAACCTTCTGTGTTTAAACACAGCAATTTAAACATAAAGTATCTTCCCTCTTCCAGTATCAGTTTACAATTGCCAGGTGTTGTGAATACTTTAGGAATGCAATTGCAAACAAAAGAAGAGTTGGGTTTTATCAGTTCTTGACAATATATCTGTTTGAAATAAAATACTCGGTGTGATTACTGGTTGTTAGGATGTGTTTAGTAACACAAGGAGCATACAGGATTTATGCAACTAAGCCCTTACATTTCTTAAAATGTGATATTTCTGAAACTGGATCATTATCTTGTGAAAATGAAACGCTGGGAAGTTTTGTTTTACAAAGGCTTTTTAACACATTACATAACTGAACAGGACTTCCCCTGGGAAGGGAGATTTAGCACACACCAGAGCCCATTCAGTCTATACAAATTTATTGACTACTTTCTATATACAAAGCTCCATGATGGTGAGTTCAGGGCTTTGTCATGCAGAACTCTTGAGTTACTTGATTCAAGTAATACTGAACATGATTATAATTCTTTATTGTTGTCATGATGTAGCCACACAGGTGGTATTATATGATACTCCTAGAGTGGTGAAATGATGAGCCCCATTTTAAAGAGGGGAGTCAGGACCTAACATTAGTTAGCAGGTGCAACCTGAAATCAGGACTCACATGCTTTCCAAGTCCTGCCTTCATCTTGTTTACTGTAATCCTCTTATGTAAGGAATAAAAGCTGTGATCTGATCCTATACCATCGAAAGTCAGTGTTCGATATCCATGGACAGTAGTTTTATTAAGGAACATACTTCAAATATCTTGCAAAGTAATTGTGTGGGTAACATCTAATTTAAAGCAAAAAGTGTCTTTGTTGAGACAAGGGAAATTTGAGGTCCAGGAAAACAGAGTATGTGTTTAAATTATATAATAAAGAATATAAAAACACAGGATTTGACTTAAAAGTCTAATAAATAAACCATCAAATCATATGCAAAAGTTAGTATTTCATATTTTTATACCTGTGTAATGTTCAATATGTTTTCACAATTGAACCTAGAGATTTAGAAGTCTAAGTGAAAAAAAATTCGTAAGAACTATTACAACATTAAAAGAACTAGTTTTGAAAGGTAAGATTGAAGTCAGGTAAGAGTAGAGCTGTTCACACATCTAAGTCTTGTAAGGTCATTGCACTTGTTCTTACTTGTGTCAGAAATGCTCTTTCTTCAGGGATTCAAAATTTGTGCATTCTTTCATACATGGAGAATACAAGTCAAGAGAAAGAACCTTGGAATTACATCTGTAAAAGTTCATAAAACCTGGTCTTTTTACATCAGTATCACAGTAAATTTTTTTTTCAAAAGGAAGAAAGGTAAATTATACATCATCTCAAAATTTTAACAGAGAATTTTACCAACACATTTATACTGTACCCTGATATAGATGCTGCCATTTACACTGTACCTTAACATTCATTTATACATAAACCAGCTGTTACCTTTGCGGTGCAAAATTATATCCCTTAGGAGACAAGAGCAGGCAAGTTAAGGCTGCCTTTCCTTTTTTATGAATTCACCCAAAGAGAATATTCAAAGAACATTTCTGGAATATATTAGGTAAGCTTACTTCAGTTTGGCATATGGAATCAGATAGAAATATTTTGTACAATGAACAATAAGAATTAAGATACCTGGAATAATTGCCAGAAAACTTGGGAGACTTACCTAGAACTTTGCTGTAGTATGAATTCCATTCTCCCCAGTAGGACTGAAATATGTAGTCTTGCAGAGAATAAGATATGGTATTTTTAACCCTCTCGCCAAAGGTCATCTGGTCAGTGAGCTCTGACAAGGCTGCAGGCACGTAGGAGACTGGTGCTGGGATCTTCCCACAGTGTCTCTCCACTGTTGCAGCTGGAGAGAACCTCAACGTGTATATAAAAGGAATTCCTAACTTCAGAGCTACCAGGTCACCACAGATTGTTACTGGGTCTGCTATCAGCACATCAAAAGCATTTTTCTGAAGCCTTGCCAATAACTGAGCATTGTTTAATACACCTTCACAGATTTGTATATTAATTTGAAAGAAAGTGTGTAAGAGTTTTCCTAGCTCTTTGTAGAAAGTCCATATCGTGAGAGGAGTTGGTCTATGCTCCAACCACAGCATTATCATGTGTTCAATCAAGGAATCTAGTTTGCTCAAGTTGTAGGAAACAGGTATCACTTCAAAAGTCACGGAAGAGTCTGGATTGGAGTTGATGAAGAGTGTTGTTGAGGAAGCCAGAACTGTCACACTGTGATTTCTTTGGATTAATTCTTCCACAATGTTCTTGATATTTAACCAATGACTGCCATCAGTAGGCCAGATTAGCACATTTCCACTTAGAGTAATTTCAGCCAGAGTCAAATTGAAGGCCAGCAACTGGATAAACTTTTTAAGCATAGTGATATCCATGGAAATCACCCTACTTTGGAACTTTGAAAATAAAAAAGTATGTTTAGATGGATTTTTAAAACATAAAAATTATTTGGTGTGATGACTATTAGTGCACTTTAGATACTCCTAATTTACCTGGAATTAAAAAAAAAAAGAAGGAAAAATTCCAAAGTCATTATGCCACACTTAAGTACTGCCTGCAGGACAATAGAATAATGCTATGATTTAGTGAAAAATAGTGGGCGATATAATCAGTTAGAAGGTGATTTGTGTATTTTTTAAAATCATACTTCAATGTTGAAGTATTTACTCTTATTGTTATAGATATCTGTTACAGTCATACCTCAGCTTTCTGTACACTTGAAATGTTTCAGAATAGCCAAATCAAAAACTCAAAGAATATTTAAAAATATATTTGGGGATATAAGTAACTGTTATTCTATAGTTGATTTCCATAAATGGAAAAATAGGACATGTTAAGTATGTCTGATTTCATGACAATAACTAAATTAATAATCTAAATTATCAGGGATTTGTTGACATTATGGGTTCACTTATAGTCATTCTAAATCAATTTTGAATGGCAGGAGAGGGAGGTTGCGTTTCTGGAGAGATTCTGGTCCATCTTGCCTAAATCCATCACTGAATTGGTGAAAGAGTAAGTCAAGGGTCAAGGGAGGTTGGGAAAACCACCTTAAACCAGTGTCTGATTGAGTGAATACACTGAGTTTCCTGGTTTTGTTCATCAATCTTTCTTCCTTATTCTATTTTTCATTCAAACAGTTAAGGTACATTTTATGGCAATAAAAATGCTTGCATTTATAAGTACAAAAAGTTGATCACATATTCTTAAATATAAAGATGATAGAAATTTATGAATAATATTTTTTAAAAATCTAAGAAACAGTGAGGCATAAGACCATGATTTAAAAAAAAAATCAAAGAAAATTCATGCCAGTTACAATACTATCTTCATCCTCAAAGTCCAGTTCTCACTTTCATTCAAGTATTTATTTGAAAGAAATAATTACAAAGAATAATATATCTTGACACTGGAATGCTGGACTTTATACCATTCTCTATACCTGCAATGTCAGGATGCAGTTAAATAGGAGAATGATGGACTTGTGACTGCTGTTGAGGAACTAAACTATTGTTATAATATAGGGGAAAACAGAGGCAGGGGGAAGGGAAAATCCTTGAGTCTAAGGAATTGTATCATGACAAATAAAGTGTTTTTTTTTTAAGTTAACAAAATTAAGATAAAATTTTCAGAATCACACTTAATAAGATTTAGGATGTAAAACTTTCTGAAAAATTTCTAGTTCATCTGAATAAAAGAAGGTCTAAAGTTGTGTAATTTTTAGAAAGACCTATTAATTTGAATTGAGAATCACTGAAGCAATATTCTTTAATGAAGCTTCTCCTAAAAGGATATGTCCCTCAGAGCCTGCTTGTCTTCTCTTTCTGCTGCTCCTTAAGAATTGCAGTGCATCCCAAGAGTTAACTGTTCTGTCTCCTTATTCTCAGACTGGGCTGTGGCCACCGAGACCACAAGAGCTCTGTAGCTGGTCCCTGTAACTTCCAGGAATTAATGAAAAAACAAACAAGATGTCATAGTCACCTTCAATTTTAGCCTCACACCAGTACTTTGACTTAATTTCAGTTCTTTGACTGGAATTGACTTTTTTAAAAGTATAGATTTAATACCTTTATCATTTTTATTCTTTGTTTCATAGCAACTCAGTCTTCTCTAGTTCCTTGTATTCAACCCATATTTTGACATCAGTTGATTCACTACCTCCTGTTTTATAACTTCAGGTAACATACTCAGCCTCCTTACAAAATGTTGGGCATGGGAGTAACTGTTTCCGAGTTGTGTGAGCTAAGTGAAACAATGTGCTAAAGTTATTCAGAGTAGCAACCATACTCAAAAATGTTGGTTATATGTATATATATATGATACTGTAGGGAGATTATCTTATTTTAAAATTCAATCCCCCACACCCCTTTTTATTGGAAGGTCAGATATACAGAGAGAAGGAGAGGAAGATCTTTCATCAGCTGATTCACTCCCCAAGGGGCCACAATGACTGGAGCTCAGCCAATCCAAAGCCAGCAACCAGAAGCCGCTTCTGGGTTTCCCAGGCAGGTGCAGTATCCCAAGGCATTGGTCCATCCTCCACTGCTTACCCAGATCACAAGCAGGGAGCTGGACGGGAAGTGAGGTTGCCCAGGATAATGACTAGTGCCTATATAGGATCCTGGCATGTACAAAGTGAGGACCTCAGCCAATAGGCCACCGTGCAGGGCTCATGATCTTGTTTTTTAAATGATAAAATTAATCAGACTTCTTCACCTTGATCCCCAACTTTCTCCACCTGTAGCACAGGTAAACTGAGACACCCAATTTCAGTGCACCTTTTCCCAAACATTGTGAGTTGTTCTGCAAGTCAGTCATGGTTACTCTTATAGTATATCAAAAATGACCTGTTACTGAATGTGCCAAAACCCAAAGTTCAACTGACTTAAAAAATTATGCATGTGCAAAACTCAGGATTATGTCTAAAATAATAACAACCTTCATTTTCTTTCACCCTAACAACTTTTATAACAGTCTCTGGAAATTGTGGTTGTTCCACAGCAAATCCATTTCTGATGCAATGCCTGTGACTGTTACCCTGCTTATAAGTCGTTGCAAAGAATTGTGCTAACAGAGCCTTTGAAGATTCTAGCCAATGAAGATCAATTTAGATTTTTTTAAAACTAGAAAATATGGCAGTAAGATGAGAAGAAGAGAGGAGAGGAGAATAGAAGGGAGGGGAGGAGAAGGGAGGAGAGGAGAAGGGAGGAAGGAGAGACTAGAGGAAGTGAGGGGAGTGGGGGGAGGGAAGGAGAGCAAAGGAGAGTGGAGGAGGAGTAGAGAAGGGAGTGAAGAGAAGAGGAGAGGAGAAGAAAGGAGGGAGAGAAGAGAAAAGTAAAATAAAAGGAAGGGAAAAGAAGGGGAGAAAAATTATGCAACAGACCATAAAAGAGAATGGAAGAGGAGAAAAAAAAGAAAAAAGAAAATATAATAAGAAAACAAAAAGACACAGGCATATACTGCTCTTATGGAAAAGGACTTGAATACCTTTTTTTGCTTTAAAATTATTGTTAGAAATCAAGCACCATCCAGATAGCTTTTATTTCTATCGTATCATTTTATAATGGTTAACTGCACTCAGTAAATACTTAGTTCATGTAAAGATATGAATATTATGGCCAGTCAATTTTTATTATGACATTACCTCTTAGAAAGTATTCATCTAATTATTCATATACAATGTAATATTTTTATTTATTTAAATTATATTTGTATAAATAAATTATAAGTCTCAGATAGAAATTATTAATTTCTCTTGTTTTTATAGTTTATGAGATGTAACTGCAGTTAATCATGCATAATCTTTAGTGAATATGAATATTTCTGCTTTTATAAAGGTGCTACTTTACTTTCTCCTCAAATGCATCCACAATTTTGGCAGCATTTTTTGTTAAAGATAAAAACAAAAAATAAAATTTTAAATTAAAATAAAATATAAAATAACATAAAAATAGAAATAAAATGTACCTAATTTAATATTAAACAGAAAAGTTGTGAAATCAGACAAACCTTTTTACTTTCACATAGAGGCTGATTTGAAGTCTCTCAGAGCCAGAGAGGAAAAAAAAAACCTTGATGCAGTACAACCAAGGCAACAGAGTTGTCTGGAGAAGGATGCCTCAAGGGATAATGAATTAACCAGAATGGCTTGAGCATATTGGATTCCACTCACCAAAACAAAATCCGGCAGAAATGAACAACAAATTTCCAAAGTTAATATATGGAGAGGAAAAAAATCAATCAAGAAAGTTGAACCCTGGATCAGGCATGATGATTCAATTGGCTAGTCCTCTGCCTGCAAGCACTGGCATCCCATATGGGTGTTGGTTTGTGCCCCAGCTGCTCCACTTCTCATCCAGGTCTCTACTTAAGGCCTGGGACAGCAGTAGAGGATCCTGCAAGCCTTTTGGGCCCTACACCCACATGGGAGACCTGGAAGAAGCTCCTGGCAGCTGGCTTCAGATCAGCTCTGTTCCAGACATACAGACTTTTGGGGAGTAAACCAGTGGATGGAAGATCTTCCTCTCTGATTCTGCTTTTATCTATAAAATACACCTTTCTGATGAAAAAATAATAAATACTTTTAAAAAGCTGAACCCTAAAATGTTCTGAACAATGTCTTGATTTCTAGCTAAAATTTTAAAAGAAGAGGCAAATATGTTCTAGAACTAAGGAACAAAGCATAGAAGCTTAAGTATAAATAAGATTTAGTGTGAACACTTTTTTTACATACATCTAGCTATGTGATTTTATTTTAGTCTGCATAATCTTTCCAGGCATCAATATTCTTATCTGTGATAATAGTTGGAATTCATTTGCATGCATTAAGAAGAAAACTATTTTGAAACACTTATAACATTAGTTAAAAATATACAGAGAGATATCAACAAATGGTAACTGCGATGATTTGATAGTATTAGCAAGTTTGAGGCAAACAGCTATTCCTCAAAACAAAACAACTAAGTTCAACACTTTAGTATCTGATACCTAGCAATTAGCAGATTATGCACTCTCTCTGAGGTTTTTACCGCAGAGAGTTGGTTCTATTTATTTTCTCAGATGTGACAGTTGGAGACCTGAGTGAATATAGACTTACTGCAATGATTTTTATGAGAACACTAGAGGAGAATATAAATCCAAATTATAATTCACTCATTTTACAAGTCAGCCTTATTTATCACCCTCATTTATCCTTCTGTGTCTGCAAAGTCTTAAAAAATAATTACTTTAGTCAGTATTTTTGCTTCTTACCTGGTCTTTTGAATATAAGTGTTCA